CGTGGGAGGAGCTAAAGACGAATCTCCTGAAGGAATTTCCGGATACCATTGATTCCAAGACGGCGCATGAAATTATGAGTGCCAGAAAAAAGAAAGACAACGAAACATGCTTAGATTATCTGTTCGTGATGAAAGAAATGGGTCGGCCTGATTATGTCGCAATAAAATACATAATAGAAGGCATGAAAGATGACGAAGTTAACAAGATTATGCTGTACGGTGTCACCAACTACAGTGACCTAAAAGAAAAACTAAAAATATATGAGCAGTTCAGTGAAAACATGCGATCGTAGAAGCAGGGAAGCAAACAGGCGCCAAAGCAGATTCATAGTGGCAGTCGAGGTAATACGCGCCATTTGAGGTGCTATAACTGTGGAGAAAAAAATCATCATTTGTCTGCGGAATGTCCACATAGGAAAATGGGCATAAAGTGTTTTAAGTGCAATTCATTCGGACACATTGCCAATGATTGTGAGTCACAAGAAGTGGCGAAAGATGGCGCCACAGGTAAAGGCGTAGGCGTCGGCAACGATGACCGAAGAATGAACAAGAAAACGAGATCGAGAACGAACGTGATGCTAGGTGCGAGTTAACCACAAGAGGTTGGCAGCAGTGAACGGATCAAATTTCATTCCGATACTGGACCAATCGTGAAACAGGTTGGCACCACTGAGAGCGAAGAAAATGGCAGCCGGCCATCTTCAATGTCAGTGAACGTAAAGAAAAAACCGACAAGGACATATGAAAGATGTGTTATTATTTCAAAAGCGGTTTGGTTTGGTTTGATTACAACCGACTGTGTAAATGCTATAGACGAACAGTATGAACAAAGCGACGAAATTTTTCATGGACTTGGTGCGTCACAAATTAAAGCTTTTTTTTCGTTCTGACGATGCAAATATGTCCTTGAATTACTTTATAATTTTTTTAAATACGCAATAAGGAATAATACAACAACCATAAAACTATCACGTAAGTATTATAATATTAAATCTTGGATAACACCTGGTCTCTACCGTAGTATAAGAAATAGAGGCAAACTACATTTACGAGTACAATCAAAACTATCTCCGGATAATTCAATACTTTCCGCATCTTATAAAAGATATAGAACTTTTTGCAATAAACTATTAAAAAAACTGAAAATACAGTATCATAAAAATATGTTACAAAAGGCCGGTAAAAACAGTAAACTTGTATGGAAGTTCAATAAAAATAATACCTTCAGTTCAAAAACCCTTGGACCCACTTGAACTACTGTCATTGGACAAAAGCCCAAAGGAGGCGACTAATAAGGTAAACATTTTTTTTATTAATGTTGGCAAAAAAAATAGCAAAAACAACTTTAAAATTAAGCAACACTTGAAATCCAATTTCTTTTGCTCACATCCTTTTCTAAATTAAATTCTTTTGTATTGTTAAATATCGACATTGTTGAGATTTTAAGTATAATAACTGGCCTAAAAGAAGATTGTGCAGTTGGATGAGACAAAAATACCTAATAGTATACTCAAAAGATTTAAACATTAACTGCCTGCCCTGTTATTTTTAATTACACCTATCTAAAGGTATTTTCCTGAAAATGCTTAAAAAGCTGTGGTGTCTCCTCCATATACAAAGCTAGCGATAAAAACTTACTAACTATAGGCCGATTTCAGTTTTATCTGGTTTATCTAAAATATTAGAAAAAATCATAAATAAGAGGTTAATAAAATACCTGGAAACTAACAATTTGCTGTCAGACAGAAAATTTGCTTTTAAGCCAAAAAGATAGATAGATAGATAAAACGTTTATTTTTATCTCCAATCACACATCTAAATTCAGTGATTAAACTAGATATACAATTAAAGTATTATGGAAAAAATATACATAAACTTATGATTCAAAAATTCATGTGTGTTGCAGTTAAACAAATGGGTCATAGCTCAGTGATTAATATTGCTCAGAGAGCAAACACTGATTTTCAGCTGTTACCATCGAGGTGGCGAGAAGAAAATGAGCACAATAGTACAATCAGAAAGAAATAAGGAAAAAACTATTTTTTTTTGCACGTTAATATTATTTTAGTGTAATTATGTCTGAAAGATGTGTTCTTTCAGCTCTATGATTTATATCTTGGGTTTAATTTAGTAAAAAATTACGGAAAAGATGTGTAAGACTGCGTACCTAATTAAGGCTAGTACCTAAACGACTTAAAAACCATGATGAGTTAGTAAAAGAAAAAAAAGAAAATAACATGCCATGGTTTATAGCTGGCAAACGAAGTGTTTGGGAATACCTTGTTTTTGTTTATCTAGAAGATATGTTTTGAATTTATTTTTAAACTTTTAGTTGGTGTTAACATTTCTTATTGGTGGTGGGATGTTATTCCAACACTTCGTTGCCATATATCGGAAACTGCCGGTAAATGCCGCTGTTTTATGGCTGTAATATAGGAGTGCTGATCTTATGGATGTCAATTGTTTTCCATAATTTGCTTGTTTAGCAAACTTTATATTTGCATGCAAGTACTCTGGTTTCTTAAACTTAATAACACTAAAGAATAGGCCCCCTAAATGTAGCTCTCTACGTGAGTCCATATTGAGCATGGAAGCATTGTTCAGAAAGGGTGTAATGTGATTTCTGGGTGGTACATCAAAACAGAACCGACAACATGCATTTTGCACGCGTTGTATTAGTCGCTTTGTTTTGCTGAAAATCCGGGGTCCATAAACAACATCCCCGTAGTTGAGCCTAGACAAAACCAATGACTCGCAAAGAGTAATGCGTGATGGTACAGAAAGTTGGTCACGGATTTGGTATAAAACCTTTAGGCGATAAAAACAGTTTTTTACCTTTAGGTACCGCGTTACTCCGCTCCGCTCAGAAAGTCTTTATAGTATCTAATTGGCTTCTTAACAATCTCATAAATTTAAACGCATATAAAACACAATGTTTGTTATTTTTAATGAGAAACAATAACATACTTACTCACCTAAATATTTACGCTCATAGTTGTGACTTGTATGATGATACTGCATGTGCATGCCCCGCACTAACAAAAACAGACAATATAAAATATCTATGTATCACCTTTGACACAAATTTAAATTTCCGCAAGCACATCGATTTACTTTGTGCTAGAGTTCGTAAGTTAATATATTTTTCTAAATATCTCCGTAACATCGCTGATTTTTAATATATAAGACAGGTCTATTTAGGTTTGTATCAATCCATACTTACTTATGGCATTACTTCCTGGGGTGGTGCCTCTGAAACAATATTTCTCCCACTAGAACGCGTGTTCAGAGAGCAGTTCTAAAGGTAGCCACTTTCCGTCCTTTCTTGTTTCCTACACATCAACTCTACTTGGCGTGTAGTGTACTACGTTGGTCAGTTGTTTATTCTAAATATCATATTAAAACAGCATACCGAACTTCCATTTAAATTAAAATCCATAGATAGGAGAAAAATGGAATTAGTTTGTGTAAACCCTCAAACCAACACGCGTTTTTGAACAGATTTTACATATTTTAAGACTATTTCGATATAATAAGCTTAACAGGTCACTAAAGATATACAGTGTAAGTTATAAGAAATGTAACATAATTGTAAGAGAATTTTTGAATAAATTAAATCACAAAGACACAGAAAAGTTGCTAGAAATTTTAAAATAGTTTTGTATTAATTATAGGTTACAAATAATTGTTATTTAGTTATTTTATTTATTATAAGTATAGTTTAATTAATAAAATTATCTTTTGTCCCTTATTATAAGACCCATAGTGTAAGTGATGGTTTAAAACACATGTACTCATCCTACTTTAGACAGGTAGCTTATATTTTAAACTTGAGTTTTCAATTTTTCTTTTGTAGATTCTACATTATTAAGCTACACAAAAATTAAATTTTTATTATTGTGTGTTATTTTTATAAGGCTTATTGTTACTTTCTTTAATTGTAATTATATTTGTTCCTCTATGTTTAAAAATGAAATAAATATTATTATTATTATTTGGGGAATCTATATAATTTTCTAATCTGGTTGGGTTCTATAAATATATAATTTTAGGTTAAAATGAAAAGATAAATATACATAAATATCAAATAAAATATAATAAATACAAAAAATACATAAATAAATAAGATCCAACCAGATGGAAGCCCTCGGCAGGGGAGACCAAACGGCCGAGGGTTAGGAGGAAAGGGAAAGAAACCGGCGGACGATGCGGGTGGTATCGAGTAGCACCGCCTTCTGCATTTGAGCCCGGAACGGTCCGTCACGGAGTCCCAGTCGCCTCAGATGACCCGAGAGGCTGACTGGGATTAGCCCATTCGCAGAGACGACTACAGGAATAATTTCGGCTGGCAGACCACCCCACATTTCGGTCTTTCTATCCAGGGAGTTAAGTTCAGTCTGAATCCACCTGAGTATGCCAAAGGTTTACATGAGGACAGGCATGACCCAGCCGTTATATATGCGTGTGCCTTACTCACACTGGACAAAAGGTTCCCCCGGAGCCCTCCAGTAAGGTACTGAGAGGGTTCAGAGAGAGGCAGAACCAGATTGGATTCAGAATTGCCCTAGAAGATACCCCCTCTTATCGGTATGTGGTTCTCCGCAGCCATCATCCACTCGCTTAGATGACAGAGGATCGTACTCCACTGCCCCATAAACTGCTCGAGGAAGTCTCTAACTGTACAGTCTATCTTGCACAGCTCGAGGACTCTCTTTAGCCATGTATGGGGCACCGAGTCGAATGCCTTTCTGTAGTCTATCAGGCGGCGGAGAAGTTCCGACGGTTGCGTTTCACCACTTTGCCAATAACCGCGTCAATGAGGAGTGGTTCCTTGGTTCCACGACCACCACCCCGACATCCATTTTGAGCGCGCGACATCACCTGATTTGAGTCCAGGTGACGAGTGATTCTCGCGCTCAAAATGGATATTAGTGTCTTGTATATGGTCGGTAGACACGTGATGAGGCGATATTTGCTCGGGTCTGTGGTACCCTGGTATTTTAGAACCAAATGGGTGATCCCAGTAGTGAAGAGGCTTGGGAGCGACCCTTCTGGTTGATAGCCTCTTGAAACTGTCGGGCGAGCACAGTGTGACACACCACTAACCCCTTCAGCCAGTAGTGATGCAGCCCGTCGAGTCCCGGACTTTTCCAGTTCGGGGCTCTATGAACCGCCTCAGCTACGGCATCCGGTGTTATAATGACGGGGTCTATGGGCGTTATACTCGCATACTGACTCGCCACAACTTCCGTCCAAGGGCCCTCGCTCTGGTTTACGGGCTCTGACCACAGGCATTGCCAGAATGCTACAGTGTCGGCCTGATTCGATGCATGGCCCGTTCCACTTACCATTGTGGTCGCTCCAATGATTAATAGAGCCTCTTCTTATCACCCTGGAAGAGACGATTCTGGTTGAACCGTGTCGACCTCTCGGTATATCGCCGAATTCGCTTTCCCCAAGCAGCGATTCTCTGCTTCAGATCATCAATGCGCTCCGTCAGTTTTTTTATATCCGGCTGGGACAAACTGATATTTGTCCCAGCAAACGCCATCCTGACGGTGCTCACAATGCTTGACCTGTTATTGCCCGATCTGAAGCATATCAGTCTGCCGATGAGAGCCCTAGCCTTTGCGATACGTTCCTCAATTCTTCTTCTTCATGCTGGGATAACGCTACTTTGGCCAGGAGCGCATCCAGCCGTGGAAAGTTTGGCACCTATAATACGGCAGACTGCCAGCGCAGTGCCAAAAATAATTGAGTCCGTCTCGCAAAGGTCCCAGCTGGCTTCCAAATAGGTCACCAGCGTTGGGTTCAGATCACTCACGACAGCCCGATTCCGCTTACTTAGGGCTATGTGAGGAAGTCGCGTTTGATTTTCGAGAGGCGTACTGCGCGTTTCCACAATCGCCTCTTTCAATGTACTCCTCATACGTTTTAATTCCAGTTCCTGGGCGACTCTTCCATCATCGTTTGAATCAACCACAACTGGGGTATTCACGGCGGCATCCACGTTTGCGGGTTGCACTACAATTTGTGGCGGCGCATCCTCAGCCGTAGCATTTTCATCCGATGAGGGAACAGCCTCACGTTGTAGCAGTTCGAGTTCGGCGACATTAAATATATTTGAGCGCAAGATATACCGAACTCGGTCTGCCAGGTTTTGCTCTGTGACAGTTAAAGATGGCTCCAGCTCAGCAAAAAGACCATGCATCCTAGCCCGATACGCCAAACATCCAGTTTCTTCCCCTTTTACCCTAAAGTACGTCTGCAGTGCGTTTGCGTTCATTGCTTGTGACCAACGTATGCGACGTGCTTCACCAGCGGCGGGTGCCGCTTGCTGAGTCCGAGAAGACCCAGCCCACACCAAGCCTTTTGATGGGGATGATGGATGCGGAGGGCTGCTAGGTGACCGTGCAGCTCCTCGCGCTCGGCTGGCGGCCCGCATGCTGCCGCGTCCAGCGCCAGCTCCAGACGCACCCCGGCGATCCCCATGCCGCGGCCCTATGCGCGTTCCTCTTTGTGCCATCATCCATTTTATGGGCGCTAAATAATGAGAGACGCCCAAGCCCGGTACCGTTTCGTGGTTCGGTCATATGCACAAAAGGACCTTTGCTCCCACAATTTTGCCTAGGCACGGCGCTTTCACCTCTTGGCAGGGTGCTGACTGACTGCGGCGACGTAGCAGTTTTGTCACATAACTGTTACGACAGCGGGCGATGGGGTCGTCACTTCCCTACGCCTTTTAATTATTATTATAATTCTACGATGCTCAACACATGCAACTTGCAAGGCCAATCGTCGGGAGTCGCGATGCTCGCAAGAAATAGGTAGATAGTATAAACAACAAAGAACCCTGAAATACGATTCCTAACAGAAATGTGAATGCGTTTGCGAAGGAAGAGCCAGTTCGAATGGTGAGGACGAAGTTTTAGAGGAGAGAGAATGAAGCAAATCCGACTATTTCAGTACGTGATAGCACGGTGCACATATGTTTCAAAGGATAAAGCTCAAGTCAATTTAAGACGGATTCTTAGCTTTCGTACCTTCCACTTTTAACGTGTTCAGAGTCTCCAGCGTCTATATTATTAAGCTAGTTATTTTTTGTAGAAGATTGCTACGAAAAATAAAATAAGACGCGGGTTGGTTTAATATTATTTTTAGGAGCGATGAACTTCTTATCGTAATGATGAATATTTAAATCTGCACAATTCACTCAGAATAATCTAACATTTAAAAAATCCACACTTAAAAAGATAGGAAAATTAGCAATAGTGATTCTAAAATAAATTTGTCATAGACGGATAAGTGATCAGAATATTTGAGTTGCCTGAAATTTTAAATGCAGGAAGTTATTTAATTTTTTTGGTAAGTCAACTCCCTCTTCTCTTAAAAAATGTTTCATTAGAAATACGGAGAAAAATGCGGCCGCAAAATGATAGCAGTTCTGCGCCAGCTTTGCAAGTGAGAAACTTTTTAAACGATAATTACCCACAATGGTGATTTAGACGTCTATGACCTTTTTTGTGGCCTCCATGGTCTTTTCATCAAAATCCCTTAGACTTATTTTTTACTGGGGATGTATTAAGGAGATTGTGTACAAGAAACCAATGCAGCATCGTATTCCACTTAGTAAAAATCTTGTTACTATACAAAGTGTTAATTTCAGTATTTTGTGTTATTATAACATAAGATATTTTAATTACAAAAGACAAGTATAGGTATGTAAGTAGATACTTGGACTTGATGTAGTCGACATCAAAGGTGTGCAACTTCTGTACGTAGTACTATTATTTATTCTGTGACTGTAGGGACTGTACAATATAGGTCACGTGCAGGGTAATATACCTACGCCATGCCCATACTTATTAAATCGTAACAACAGGTATAAGTAATATATTTAATAGTTATAATATTATGTGTAGCGGCTGCGTCCACCACGTTTAAAAGACAGTCACAAATATATCTCCGTTTACACGAAACGTTTCTTCAATTACTTCAACATTAATTATAGACTTTTGTGAATCTAAAAATACTAAATCAATTAGTACAGTATTCTCAAGACTGTACACTGGTGACTGTGTGAGGAACCATTTGTGAAGTAGTGTCGGTAGAACATGAGCCTGCAACCTGGCCCCGTGCCAGTTTCCGCTGCACATATCCCGCCCTGCGCCTGTACCACCCACCGCCCAGGGCAAGCAGGCGTCGACGAAAACCCGCGCGGATGGCGCCAAGGCGCTGGCGAGTATCAGCGTTTCTTCTAGAATACCCGACATCTGGGCGGATCAACCGCGACTCTGGTCATTAAGTTTGCGGCAGTTATAGAAAACCAGAAAATCGGGGATGCGGCCACGCAGAACCTGGCCGTGACCTATAGTGTGTCCCTATATATGCAAATACTTATTAAGGAAAAGCGTGGCAACTATTCAGCAGTGAATTTTTGGTATGTTTGTTTTATTTTTATTTTTTAAATGAGAAGGAAATAACTGCAACATTACTAAATTTTAGTTAAATACTTAACGAAGTTCTAACATGTTTTATTTCAATAATAATTTAATAATTTTGTGATTCAATTTTTAATATTTTTTTTAGATTATAAGGTTTTTGAAGCCGATACGTTATCTAATCCAATGTAGCTTAAAATAAATATTTATCTGCAATTAAATGCAATACAATTTCACCTGTAAGCTTATGTGTGATACATGTATTGCTAAGTGCTTCGTTTTGTGCCGTTAATTTAAGAAATAATGTTTGATTCGATAAAATATTTTACCATACAAAAAACTCACCAGAGCGTTAACGTACCATTTTGTATGTGTAAGTGTAAGAGTATTTGACAAAGAAATTTACCTCATAATATTTGATGTAATCGTTTAGTCCTAAGCAAATATCTGAGAAATGAGATACAAACTTTGACTTTGAAGCCAACTTCAATGGACTCTTGGGATTACACTTCCAGTTTATTTAAGCTTTAATTTAAATGTCAAGTTTTTATCATAAGGCATTGTATAATGTAAAGATAATGATTTCTTATATTTACGCGAACACTACACATTGAATAAAACTAAATTTACGAATTTTATCGCGTTTATTTCACTACTTTTACGTATTTTGAATTCCCGACGTTTCGGGTGCTTTATAGCACGGTTCGGTTGCTGTAAAGCACCCGAAACGTCGGGAATTAAAAATAAGTAAAAGTAGTGAAATAAACGCGATAAAATCCGTAAATTTAGTTTTATTTAATGTAAAGATATCATCCTAGTGTTATTTTTAACTAACTACTGCTAAAGTGAAATTTTTCCCTTTTAAATATCCGATATTAAATTGAGGAATAAAGCACTTCGAGTATAAACCCTAAAATAAAAATTGGCAGTTTCTCACGTTCGGTCAGAAAAAGTTAAGAAATTTTTGCACAAACAGATTTGGTATTACTTAATTTCCAGCTAAGACATTTTACTTAATTTAATTTAATGGTACAGTCTTAAGTTTATATAAAAGGCAAATATTTACTTATCTATAATATAATATTATAAAGATCAAGGGTTTGTTTGTTTGTTTGCTTGAACGCGCTAATCTCAGAAACTACTGGTCCGATATGAAAAATTCGTTCATTGATAAATAGGTCATTTATCGAGGAAGGCTATAAGTTAATTATCATTACGCTAAGACTATTGAAGCAGAGCACCAATGAAGAATGTTTCAAAATCAGTTTTTTTTTCTATTGAGAGCTTTTGCTGCATGCGCTGCTTAAACTGTTAAAGTTTTGCAAAAATCATGTATAACAGAACTGTTCCCCTTTAAAAGTTTCAAAAAAAAAAACTCAGCAACAGCATACGTCTATCTTTTAAGGTTGGCTCACTATACCCTTTTTATGCTCACCAAATCGGTCTAAAATAATGCATTATCTGCTATTATGTTTATATGAACATGAGATTTATCCTTATCCAAAAGAATACGTAATCCATCACAAATGTTCAATTTAAAACAAAATTTACCTTTACATCATTCGATTTCAATTAATATCTTAGGAGATATCGCAGTTTTAATATAACATCGCAGCAAAATAATGATCAAGTACTGCGCGCACATTTATGATGTTCAAGGCTGGCCTGCAGTCACGTGGGAGAAAGGCGGTGGTCCCAGTTATCTCTGCGAGAAACCAGGCCGCGCAGCTCGGACGCGTGATACTCGGCGAACTACTTTTTAAATTTGTTTTTCCAATATATCAACGTATATTACTTTTTAGATGTATAAGTTATTAATAAGTTTGATTAAATATTTATCTATGAAATATTAATAATTATTTAAATAGAACTACATAAAAATAGAAAAGAAAATTATATATTATAATGTA